CATGGCTGGAGGTACATTCATGCCTTTAAAAAAAATCATGTATTGATGAACCCCAGCAGTCTCTGTGGTTAGAAACAGCTTTAAAGAATAGCAGGTTCATGCACCTCATATTTTTTAACAGGAACATGAGTGTTAATGCATCCCTCTATAATTAAACATATTGCTCTTTTCTCTAGATTCACAGCACATACATAGAGGCCAACTGGCCAATAAGAGTGAGTATTCAGCATGTGTGAAAGATTCATGAAAGTTGATGTAAATCGGTGTGGTGATTTAAGACATCCCTCAGAGTGATCCGGCTGCATGTTTTAATTCATTCTACTGTCCAGGTTGGGTAACCAGTGGTGCTTTTCTGTCGCATATTTCTAATACATAGTGAAGTATTACAGATTTGCGTGATTGTGGGTTACACAGTATCAATGGAAGGTTGCAGTGTTCTTGGGAACAGATGGTTATCCAAAACCCAATATTATAAAAATATCACAGTTGTTTGGTTAACCATCAGCTGACTGTGCTACAAAGCAATATTCTTTACATTACAGCTTTCATATTGCAGGAAATAAACTGATTTATAATACAATGGTGTCCAGAGTATTTCAAATTAAACAGGCAAGAGTAAGATATGTTATTTACATAAAAAAAAAAGTTTTCCATGAATATAAATGAAAAGTATATCAATTAATTTTCCCGTTTAATGAAAATTGTCCTCATGTTGTTGCAGTTTACAGCCATAGATCCAAGTGGCCAGCAGGTGGCTATAGCAGGGAGACATGGTCTTGCACACTACTCTTTGGTCACTAGGAAGTGGAAGCTGTTTGGGAACGTAGCCCAGGTTTGTGAGATAGTCCTCTTGGTATTGCTTATATATGCGGGGGCTCTGTGTCACTGTCAATTTCATTTACAACTCCACTGTGAAATTATTTCGCATTTAAAGTAAGATTCGCCCTTCTTGTTCTCAAGGAACTAGCCATGGTGGTCACTGCAGGACTTGCATGGTGGAACAACCACATTGTGGTTACCTGCTTCAATTTAGCTGAGCAACGAGAAGAGGTAAAACGATCCGTGCTGAGCACCAGCAAAGGGGACTGTGATTTGTAATCAGAAATTAAAAAGTTAAATTCCACAGTATAATGATGCTAATTTAATTTTAGTTTGATAATTTTCTTATCCATAAATTTTCTTATCCACATGAATAGAGAACTTGTCTCTTTTTATATAGCATAGCGCAAGCACATAGAATGTTACCTGTGTTATCAAATTCTGTTCGAGTTTCACTTCCATACATTTTTGTCTCTTTGGTAATGCGATGTCCAGCAGGTGGCGCAGTGCTAACTGTGACTTACTGTCCGGGAAAGGAACCATGACAAATGTCATTTTACTGGTTACGCAATTTCCAAATATGGGACCTCATGTGAAACTGACGTTTCTGAATTCCAGTGGAATTCCCCCGGCAGGGGACTGAAGGTTGCCGCCAAATGTGAAATGGCCCTTCCGATCTCCTCTCTCTCTCAAGCTCAGGTTCTACCCTCAGACGTGTAACCTGGACAACGCTCACGCCAGCGCAACCAAGCTGCACTCGGAGACGCTGCTGTTGCACGTGTCCCGCAGCACGGCCCTGCGCTTCCGGGCAGACTGCTTCATCGATCTCTACAGCGTCAGCCTTAGGCTGGATAGGTGGGCGTCTGCACGTCTCCCTATGCACTGCTCCCTCCGTACGTGGTCGGACCTGTGCTGAGCATGGATCACACAAGCTGTGATCAGAGGACTGCAATTGCACTTGATTCTGTGGGTTGATGGATGCATGGATGGTCTCCTTCCCTCTCCCTTCCCAGGGTCAGACCCTCAGTCAGTGTGGAGCTGCTACAGGTGGTGTCTTTATCCCGCTACATCCCTCAGCCAGCCATAGTGGTGTCTATCATGCTCACTTCAATTTGCACTCCGACAGGAAGCGCCGTGAAACCCCACCAGGTTAGACTCAACATAGGAAAAGTCATGTGACGAGCATATTTATTCTAGTTTTGCATTTACTTTCTTGTCCGTTTTGTAAATGACTATTTAAGTACATTTGATTGTCTAGTGCAGTGTTTTCCAGTCCAGTCCTCGGGGACCCACAGTCAGTCCATGTTTTTGCTCTTGTGGGAGGTTAATATTTAATGGCTACAAATGAATCAGGATGATGAATCACAGTCAGAATGTTTGTCACTGATACAAATGAGTATTCTAGAAATTAACCACAAGATCAAAATCAGCTGAATGTTCTTCCTGTGTTTCAGGGTGCACTATTAAAGATAGTACAGCAATCATACCAGTGAAAAGTCATTCAAGTTAAAAGTGTTTCAAATGTTCAGTGATGACTTGTTTTGACAACAAGGTCTCCTTCAATATGTTTTCAAACACTACTGGTTTATTATAATATATTATCATATGATAATAAACCACTAGTGTTGTATCATATTATCAGTAGTTTATTATCAAAATTCATACCATGATAAATACTATTCCCTTATTGGTCCAGAGATGTCACGTGGGTGTTGATTATTGTCATGTAACCATACAGGTAGTTCCGGCAGCCTAATAACAGTTATATATTAATGTGTTTTAATGTTTTATTAAACACGTTAATATAAAAACCTGTGTGACTTATTACTCTATTACTCATAAATTAGCCGTCACTCTTATCAGCACAGTTTCCCCTGGTTTCCAAACCCAAGCGCTGGTCTGTTGACAGTTTCTCTGGTTGCCGCTTCCAGTGAGTAGCCTGATCAGAGCACATTGGAACATTATTAAATGCTAATTGAAATAATTTTCTTCGGAAAAACTGTGGCTAGTTTATTCTGTTTTTATTTTTATGTTTTTTAGTCTTGGAATAAGTGAGATAAACCACTTCATGGTGTGTAGTTACAAGAAAATGATTGATTTCAACTTGGTTATTGGTGATAACTGCACACCTTGTTGCGCTCAGTCCCTTATGTAATCCATGCTGTGTTCTGTAGCAGGGACCTCAGAACCTCAGGTGTCTCATCTCTGGTCCTGGGCTCTGCCTCTCCCTCCATTTTCAGGTCTGCCTCACAGAGAGTATCCTTCTCAACATGGCAGGACAGCTTATCATGCTGCAAAGGGACGACTCCAAATTTCAGGTGCAAGAAAAGGAAACCATGCCTGATCAGAAGAAGCTGGTGAGTAAAGAGCCCAAAATCTCTACCAGTTACCAAGGCGAATATTTATTTATTATCATCTCTTACATTGTCCCCAGTTCCCATTTTGCCCCCCCGTGGTGCTGGCACAGTGCGTGGAGAATGTGTGGACGGCCGGTCGCAGCAACAAGCAGAAGCGCTACCTCCTGGAAGCTCTTTGGATCTCCTGTGGCGCGGCGGGCATGAAGGTCTGGCTTCCGCTCTTTCCGCGCGACTGTCGCAAGGCCCACTCCTTCCTGTCCCGGCGCATCATGCTGCCATTCCACATCAGCATCTTCCCCCTGGCTGTGCTCTTTGAAGATGCACTGGTCTTGGGGGCTACCAGTGAAGCGGTGCTGTATGACGGCCAAGGGTTGCCCCCAGATTCCTTGGAGGTCATCTTTCCTTTCTGCACTGTGGAGCGCACGTCTCAGATCTACCTCCACCACATCCTACAGCAGCTGCTTGTGCGGAATCTTGGAGAGCAGGCCGTGCTGCTGGCCCAGTCTTGTGCTGGGCTTCCATACTTCTCCCACGTACTGGAGCTGATGGTCCACGTGGTCCTGGAAGAGGAGGCCAGCTCCCGGGAGCCCATCCCTGACCCGCTGCTGCCCACTGTGGCCAAGTTCATTGCCGAGTTCCCCCTATTCCTCCAGACCATTGCGCACTGCGCACGCAAGACTGAGTATGCCCTCTGGAACTACCTGTTTGCTGCCGTCGGCAACCCTAAGGACTTGTTTGAGGAGTGTCTGATGGCCAAAGACCTGGACACAGCTGCCTCCTATCTCGTCATCCTTCAAGTGGGTTTTTATCTTCTGTAGGATTTACTGGTTCATTCATTTCCTCCGTCTATGCTGTGTAGCTGTGCTTATTCAAGAATTACATTTTCCGTGTATATGTTTTGCTAGCTTATTGTGAATATTTCACTGATTTTTAGCATATTTGTCTGTCTCCTTTTCCAGAACATGGAAGTGCCGGAAATTAGCCGCAAGCACGCTACCCTGCTGTTCAGTACTGCTCTGGAGCAAGGCAAGTGGGACCTGTGCCGTCAGATGATTAGATTCCTCAAAGCGATTGGCTCTGGGGAGTTAGAGGCGCCGCCCCCCACACCAGCCACTCAGGTACACTCATCCAATCAATGAATTTTATAAAGGACACACCCATTTAGAAATCTGAATGTATTAAAACCTAGTAGACTCTACTGTCTCTTGCAAGACAGGAAGTATAATGATTAAGACCAAAGGTTTGTTGGGTTAAATCCCAAGAGGGTCTGTGTTGTATAAAGGGCATTTTACCAGAGCTGTTTCATTAAATCCGTAGTATTATTTAAGAATAATCGGGCCTCTAAACATTTTAGCTGCAGTCTGGATTTCAGTCAACGAATCAAATACTGATCAATATTGTGCATTTTTATAAACAATTTTCACTGTGATATCTGCTGATATTGATAGAAACTTTTTCTAGAGGGATGAACAAATAAACCTGAGGAAATGTCAGTGCTGGGGGAGAGGAAGATCATTTTTTATTTGTATTTTTTCTATATACTAGAAAATAGTGTCTATACAAATATGAAACGTTTCGATTGTGAACAGGAAGCCGGCCTGACGGGGGGCGTGGAGTTTTTCCGCCGGCGACACAGTAATGTGTCTCATTCGGCTGACAGTGTCCCCCCAGGAGCGATCACTCCACAGAAAACTCCCAGAATCCCTTGCGACAGGTATGTTGTCCATGCCGCAGTGCAGACAGGCCATCGCTGGGTATAAAAGCACTGACAGAAAGCCCAGTGCGGGAAGAGGGGCTCCCCGGGCAGAGTGAGGAACACTCGTCCATGCCCCGCCGTGTTTGGGAAGCTGTGGCACGGCTCCTGGCGAACAGAAGCTTCCCTGCTTCATTGTCTTCCCTTTGGCACGCAGACACAGCAAAGGCTGCGGGAGCACGGAGAGCGTGTACATCACCCTGATCCTGGAGCGGCATGCACGGCGCCTCCTAGAGGAGGTGCGCTTGAAGGACCTGGGCTGTTTCTCCGCTCATTTGGGCTTCGAGCTGATTGGCTGGCTGTGCAGGGAGCGAAGTCGGGCGGCCCGCTTAGATAACTTCGTAGAGGCCATCAAGAGGCTGCACCAGGATTTCCTCTGGCCGTTTCCCATCAGCATTGACTGCTCTGTCCAGGCCTCCCTCCTGAACGATAGCTACTGCATAGGTAGGGTGACAAAACACACTGTTCTTTTTTTGTCTGGTGAATATGGGAGATTACTCTTGGTAGGACCTCATTAAGTTGGTGTGGCCATCACGAGTGAGGGTAGTTTTAGATAATGTACTTGTGCCAGCTTGTATTTAATTTGTTTGCTTATGTGAAACCTTTTGTTGATCTTGATAGGCTACAATTGATATTTTTACTCACAGTGCCACCTAATGGCTTTCTGTGCATAAGCTGTTAAACCCAGAAAAGACAACCAGCATCTCATTACTAGAGGGCCCAGTCTCACAGAAGAGTTTAGGACTAAAATCCTGAAAGCGTATGTGCATGCGTGAGGTAGCCATGTTTTTAAGGTGTGTTTTGTCGGTCGTTATTAGGGCAAAGCAGTCAGTTGCAGAAGTCTGAGTCAGAGAACAGTCTCCGGAATATCCAGGTGGACACAGTGCCCCCTGCTGTTGGCCATAGCAATTACATCAGCCAGGACATCCTTGGGGCAGAGCTGCATCTCCAGGATGCTTTCCTCTCTGCGTTTCCACACAAAAGTTCGTGTCGCCAGAATCAGACCTCCTTATTCCCACCAGAACCAGACTTATGGGTCCATTTATGCTGAATTGCTTATAAACGGTCCTGGTTGGAGCTCTGCCTGCCGTTTAATGGGACACGCTGGATTCCTATCTGTCACCCAGGGGATGAGTCCAGCATCGGCTCAGCCACGGACCTCACCGAGGTCAGCTCTGTGGCGGACGGGGACTGGGCCTCGGCCGATGAGGATTTTGCCTCCACCGCCAGCCTGACGCACGGGCAGCTGGAGCACATCTCCAAAGACCTGGCCAGCAGGGGCCCACTCAGGTCTCAGCTGCAGCTCAGGTTAGTGGATGAAGCCGCGGATGCCATCCCAGAAAGGTGGCATGGAAACCCAGCGGCAGGTATGGAGTCAGCGATTTTCAGGTGTGTGACGGGAACTCCAAGGTCATGTGACTATGGGTGTGTGCACCCATCTCTGTGTCTGTATTTGTCTGTCAGGTACCTGCTGCACATTTTCATGGAAGCCGGCTGCTTTGAATGGTGTATAGTCATTGGGCTCGTCCTCCAGGAAGCAGCAGTCATCAAGCAGGTGCTCGGCTTCCTGGACAGTGTCCCCGCTGAGAGAGTTCAGGGGATCCGCAGTAGCCTGCTAGCGATGAATGCCTGGGCTTCATCTGATTGGTGGGTTTAAAGGGCCGGTTCACCCCTAAACTGAAAAAAAGTCCTTCTAGGTTGTTCTGCTGGGAGTTGCCTCGTTTTGGAGATATCAGGTGTAGAAATGTCAGGCTTTTGTCGAATATAATGCGAGTGAATGGCATTCTTTGGTGATTAAAGCAGCAGAAGATACGAGCAGGAGTATCCCAGTGATATCTCCTGAGCAGTGATGCGACTGGTGTGTGGAGTTTGGTAGAAGAAAACAGTTCCTACATTAAACAGCTCACTACAAAGTCTGTGGATTATCTTCAATAACCGAGACATTGCTATTGGATTTTTCAAATGTATTTTTCCGGCGCTTTTATCACCATCCACTCCCATTATATTCCAGAGAAGCCCGACATTTCTACACCTGTTATCTCCAAAACGAGGCAACTCCCAGCAGAACAACCTAGACAGACAGACAGACAGGCAGACAGACAGACAGATAGATACTGTAGATAGATAGATAGCACTAATACTCTCTAAAACACGTTTTTCAGTTTTGGGGTGAATTGCCTCTTCAAGCATGTCCTCCATAAATATAGATTTCATTTTACTCATTTGTCAGCTGTGACCAGAAGATTCTAATAGCATGGATTCAGCTCAGAAATTTTTAAAAACTTAAAAACGAGAACATGACTTTTGGGCTGTTCTAGTTCAGTTGAAGTCAGATCCTGTTGCAATATATTCCAGTGTTCAAACCCTCTATTATCTCCTTCATTGCACTTAGTCTTGGATACAAGCCCCTCCTCAACCACATCTGGGATCAGCTACAAAAAGTGGATGTGATGGAGGAGCCGGACAGAGCAGAAGCTCCAGCGTCCTCCAGCCCCTCCAATTCCATGGAGCTGCCGGACTCCAGGACAGAAGACAGCCTCGGGCCAGAAGCTCTCCTGAGTACAGCCCCTGCAGTGCCCCCTGCAGCGCCCCCTGCAGCCATGGAGGACCCTACTGAGCAGCAGCAGACAGTGCTGCCCCAGGAAGAGGAGGCAAATACATGTAGCCTTTCCTGACGCTTTTATACCAGGCAGGTGAAGGACCAGGAGAGGTCTTATAGGACCCTAGGCCTATGTGACTTTAATCCCTTCTTTCCTACGTCGTTTTATTTTATCGTGTTCAGGATTTTTTTTCTGAGTGGTGTGAGATTCTTGATTAACATTTTGACCCTCTCATTCCTCTTCTGCTGCTGTAAAAACATCCATGGGTGCAAACTAAGACTGTTTCCCGAGGGCATGATATACAGTAGTGAGGTGAAGGCCTCTGTGCCAGTGTTAATGTTCAGTGTAATTGATTACAAAATGGCCACCCCCAAATCGATTCTGCACACTTAGCTGGCTATTAGCTCTTCACCCAGAGGGTGTGATATGCCTTCATTCTGTCATCTGACATGCGCTATGCTGGCTAAGTGCACCAAACATTCAGATGCTACATGTTACATATATATTACCTCAAAAAGTGCCTTAAAGTTTTAATATTAAGATGGGATTTCTGAAAAATGCTGTGTCCACAAAGTACGTCTGGGAAGTTTCCCTGCAACATTACTTCTGTGCTGAACCGGAACAAAGCAGTTTTATTTATGTCCCTGTTTTATAGGCACCAATAAGAGGTCTTCCACAAGGCATTACCCTACATTAAACCTCAGGCGACAGGCAGCCGCGAAAGGCTTTCAAGCCTCCCTTGACAGTTTTTCACGTGTAATTGAAGTAAAATAGGATCTACATCTGTTAGGTATGATATGAGAAGTGTGATTCTGTTTGCTGCTGCTTTGCGGGGGAGTGTACCGAATGGGGCTATTGTGTTGCTTACATATAAAAAATGTAAGCTGTGTTTTGGCCAGAAAGCGAAAGGTAAAACAGGGGACAAAATCCATCTTCCATTTGTTTTCTTACTTTACACAAAATCATATTTTTATAACACCTTTTTTTGTTTCTGTTCGATAGGTTTATCAGCCTCAACAGGACCAAAATGACCGTTGTTAAATGTATGGTCTTTCCATAATTTCTCAAAGAATTTCCCCATTGTGGGATTAATAAAGTCTAATCTAATCTAATCTAATCTAATGGGTACTTCCCTTCGTGAACAATGAGAAGTTTAAGTTTTGGAACACCGCATACAGTAAAAATAATGAATCATCAAACACTTACTCATGACATTATGTGACTCGTGCTATGATATTGTTTCTAATGCACTCATGTAGTAACTAACTGACGTGATTTAATGAATTCCTTGACACGCCGTGTTTACCTGTAGCTTTTGTAATCTGAATGGCAACCGCACCCTTGTTGAGGGTCTTTATAAACGTCAATATTTCCACATAGTAGAACTTCACAGCATCGGATGTTTAATCCAACACTGCCAGATACAGGGGAACTACAGGCGTATCTCTGGTTTTAAGATATTGCGGTCTGCAGGCTGTTTTTGTCCCAGTTTTGTTTTCTCTGTAACTTTCTATCTATCTCCTGCCTCATTTTATTGGTTAGAGGCAGCAGAGATGTGATTTGAATTCTCTCAGTTGCACAGAAGTCTAATCCATTTTATTGTGTACAGTTAAAATTTATACCTCACTAAACACACTGTATCCAAATTCAAGAGGTACTCTCAGTGCAATACTATACACTGTGCTATTTTATTCTTGTGTATTATGAGCAAATCATTTCAATTATTTGTAGTTAACCTGTGGAAAAATGCACTTTTAATCATCATATTGTTTAACTGTAAAGGCTTTTAGATGCTCCTTTGTAAATAAATGCGGTCAATATCTAAAATAAATACTGATTAACTCGGAATTAAACAATTGACAAAAGTTGTTAAACACAGACTGCTTTGTCTATTTAAAAGAAGTCAAGAGATACAAAAGTTATATATAATGACCCTTGTAGACCTTGTATTCCTTTTTATTCACTATACAAATACCACTTAGATCTATTATAAGCATTAAACTGCAACTGGTCAATGACTGTAGATAAAATGCATAAGTATATATAACAATAGTAATAATAATCTTTTCATCATGCTGCACAGAGAGTAGCTTGCCTTGTGCCCCATGATATCTTGTGTAGGGACCAGGATAAGAGGTTTTGGATAAGAGGTTTTTGAATAGGTCAATATAATTATAATTTTTTTGTCCACTGCAACTTCTGTAATTGTTTTACATACTGAGCTGAGCAGCAGAGAAGCCTGTGGTTAGGAGGTGATTCTCCTGCAGGTTATATCCCAACATAAATACACTAATGCACTGTTTCCCAATCCGGTCCTCAGGGACCATAGTCAGTCCATGTTTTTGCTCCTTCCGGGCTCCCTGCCAGACAGTCCACAATTTGGCTCCCTCCCAGCTCCCGGAAACGTGGACTGTCTGTAGGTCCCTGAGGACCGGATTGAGACACACCACCTTTAACCTCACATAACTACCTTGCAGTGTGATGGGAATCCC